AATATTATTGGTTTTATAACCTTTCAGATTTTTAAAATTAAGAGACATGGCTCCTAAATAGTGTAACTATACATGTTCTAGGCTATATATCATATTAGAGGACTCCAACATGCTTCGTGAGCTTTTCTTTGTTTCTAAAGCACCATGCCTGTCAATCATCCTATCATTCAGAATTAAGAGAATGCTATCAGTTGTAGAACACAGAACGATGCTAATAAATTTTTGTGTTCAAACACAAAGCAGATCACTTCAGATTTCTCCCTAGGGGAGCAATTTTCTTCACTTAACAACCATTTTAGCCTTGCAGGTAGACGTTTCAATTTATCAGTTAATGATTTTTTTTCCTCCAAATCATTCACTTTTCATCCTTCTCATACCTACCAGGCCAATTAAATAGATCAGGATGCTGGCAATGATCAGCCATTCTCAGAAGGGTGGGACCACTATTCCAATTTGTCCTTACATCCTTTTGTGGGTGGTTTTGCTATGTTAAATGACTACCCAGGCCCCTTGAGAAGCTACCTATAGACATTCATTTTAAATGTGATAATTACTATTTTGAAGAAATAGAACATATGGAAGCATTACTGATCATTCTGTTAATTCAACATTGACTTGAAATTATTTACATGCACTTGAGAAACCATTTAGCATACATTCCTTACATTACCAAATACAAGCATTCTAGCCCCTAAAACAAAGTCTGATATAAATCCGACTTTCCTACTAAGTGCCATTATGAAATCAGAGACATGTTACCAAAAGAGAGTTCCAAAATAGGCTGAGTATAAAACCTTGGATGAAGATGAGAGTCAGAGTAGCCAGCCCTGTGGCAGTTCACTTGTTTGCTGATCATTTGAAAATTAGGTGGCTATTACCACTGGTCACATCCCTCATCCTCATGTTCACAGGGATGTCTGTCTTGTTATCGAAGTTACCTACCATTATGCTTTGGGACTTTTAGACATTGCCCTCACTCTGCTTTGATATGGGCATTTTCGTCCCTTTAATTAGGAATTCTACTGCAGTAACACAATTCACCAGAGGGGGTCAACTCTCAAACTACTTCCACCAGAGAAACCCCATGATAGAGGCTTCTGCTTATGTGAAACATATTCATTACAGATCTTTGACTTCAAAATTCTCTATTAAAATTCTGTAATCATCTCCTGTTTCCCCCTCAGGCATAAACATATATAGCACTTTGCATTTCAGGTTAAAATGAGATACTTATGATGAACAGGATATTACATTCTTGGAAGAAAAGTTATAGCTATTTGACAGTGTGAAATTTCCCAAAATGAAATGTGTACTTTCATAATACAGACAGATTCCTCATAAAGGAAATTTGCCATATAAATAACTTAGATACAGTAAACCATAAACAAAGACTTCCCCATAATCCTCTTTTTAATAGAAACTGTATATTCAATATAATCTCAGTTACATAAACAAATATGCAGATTTATAGATACAAAGACACAGAAAAATAATTGAAAGAAATATTCCAAAATGTTAAGAGTGGATATCTCAGAATGGTGTGATTATGAATGGCTTGCGTTTCTTTCTTTACGTTTTTCAATTTTAAGTTTTCTTCTTCAATAAATTAGAATTACTATAGTATTATGGAAAACAGATTTAAATATGTCTATGTATTTGCATATATGTCTTTTATTTGGTGAAATACATATATCATAAATTTTCCAATTTTAATCATTTTAAGTATACAATTCAGTGGCATCAAGTACATTCACAATGTTGTATAACCACCACAACTATCCAGTTCCAGAACTTTTTCATCACCCCAAATGGAAACCCTGTACCCATCTAAGCAGCACTTCCCATTCACCCCCTCCCCTCATCTCCTGGCAACCACTAATATATGTTATTGCTCTCTATGGATTTTCCCATTCTGGATATTTCATAAAAATAGAATTACACAGTATTACTCCTTTTGTGTCTGGCTTCTTTCATTTAGCATGGTGTTTTCAAGGTTCATTCATGTCATGGCATGTATCAGTACTTCATTTCTTTATATGGCTGAATAATATTAAATTGTATGGATATACCACATTTTGTATATCTCTTAATCTGTTGACAGACATTTGGGTTGTTTCCACCTTTTGGCTTTTGTGAATACTGCTGTTATGAACATTCAAGTACAAGTTTTTGTTTCAACATCTGTTTTCATTTCTTTTGGGTATATACCTAGGAGTGGAATTTTATTGACATATACTTTTTTTTTAAAGCCTTTAATTCAACTTTACCATTCTGTGTTTAAAGTAGCAATGCTTTTTTAGAATTATTAATCATAATCCTTGTGACACCATTCCACAATAATACCATTCCATTTTCAATCACTGACCCTGGTACAGTTTTTTTGACCCCAAATCACATTCTTGTACTTTAAAAGGTAATTTTCACCCTTACTCTTTGGGAACAAATTTCTCTTATGCTAAAATACTTTAAACTATAAGAACTGAAAAGTATAGTCTTTTCCTTTTAGCATAGCCATTCTACCAGTACCTAATTCACTTTCAAATACTTATATATTTAAAGTACTTAAATACATGCTTGTATGTTCTGTTGGTACTTTAACAGGAAAGCATAACTAAATAGACACCGATATTTAAGCCTTAAGGAATGTATTAAATACATAATACCAAATAGAAGCAATATAGACTCTTCTAGAAATTTAAGCTGGCAGATAGTGACCAGACAGGATAAATACACCCTGAAAGAGTACACAGCACCAATGCTTAAGTGCTTGACCTCTCACTCTCCCAACAGAAAGCTGATACATCTTGTGAACATAAAAGCCCAATAATATTAAAGTTAAATTTAGCTGTAGACAGTAGTTGAAGTGGGCTAAAGAAGATGATGGTAGACTCTGTTTACCCATATCTATTTAACAACTGTTGGATTCTCCCAGTGTTCCTTCCCCCCAAACACATGCACACATATTTATGCAGTATACATTCATGCACATGCACACACATGCATGCTCGTGCACGTGCACACACACACACCTGAACTATACTTCCACCTCGGTGGCTGCAATTAAGGGTAAAAGTGTTTTTGTAGCTCAGTTATCCCCTAGATATCAGGCTTTCTCCCCTGTTATTACTCTTACCCTAACCACGACACAGCACCTTGAAATTCAGAAAGCAGAAATAAAATTCCAGCTAGAAAAGAAGTAGCCTTGAAACAAGAAAAGACACACCAAACTGTAATATTTGTCAGTAAGGGATATGATTTGGGATCATTTAAAAATAAGGTACTGCAGAGCCCTGGCCAGCTGGGTCAGTTGGTTGGAGCATTGTCCCATACACCAAAGGTTGAGGGTTCGATTCCAGGTCAGGGCACATACTTAGGTTGTGAGTTCAATCCCCACTTGGGGTGAATATGGGATGTAACCAATCGATGTTTCTCTCTCACATTGATGTTTTTTCTTCTCTCTCTCCCCCTTCCTCTCTCTCTAAAAATCAATAAAAAAGCATATCCTCAGGTGAGGATTAAGAAAAAATAAATTACTATGGAATATTTCTATAATACTGGTAGACTTCTCTTTAAGAAAAATTTAAATAGGAACCATAAATTTATAGCAAACAATCAATTAAGAATGTTTAATTCTATAAAAGGCTTTACACATTCCAACTTTTCTAGGATCAGCACTATCAATTAGTTTTATATTTTCCTTTACAAAAAAATTTTAGGATGCTTTCATATTCTGATATTGCTCCAAAAAACCCTACAACAAAACCCAGAAGGAACTCTTTCACCCTACTCTGTGCAGAATTTTTTAAATAGCTCTGGCATAACAATAATAATTTATATCATAGAGGTTTTTCATATGAAGATTTAGAACTTTATAAATGTCTTATTTTATATGTGGAAAAACTGAATGGTAGTGGAGTAAGTTGTCCAAAGTCTCACTAGGAATCAGGGCAAAGCTAAAAATAAAACTCAAATCCAATTAACTATCAAGACAGTGATCTGTCCATGAGGCAAAATATCTCAGTTACCATGGGGCATTCTAAAAAAAACAATAGAGTTAAAACATGTTATATCATAATGATACAACCATGTCATTTATGAGTGTAAGAGAATGCTATGTATATCACTGAATTCCCAATGTTTTATTTCTTATAGACTGTTTATTCTTACTCTTATTCACTTATTTATTCGTGCTTTGTGTATACTCCTTTTCTCTGCTATAAGTTGCTTTATGGTGCAGACGAAATCTTAGTACTTTTGTACATGTAGCACAGTGCCTTAAATGCAGTAGGCATTCAATAATGTGAACATGGCTGTGTGTAAAATTTCACAGACATACACTTAACTATCTCCTGCCAAACACCAAAGCAAATCATGGTGAGAGTCTGAACTTCCTTAAAAAATCCAACCCCAGATATTAAAGAATAAAAATATGATCGACATAGACTACTCTGATAATGGCAATGCACAGAGATACCCAAGATATAACCTTAATATTATCTGTTAGTGTATTAAATTAAGGTGGCCAAGAATGAATTAGCATGATTTAACCCTAACTAACACCCTATCATTACACACAAGCTGGTATATTTCCCCAAGTGGTGTGTTCTCCTCTTTTGCTCCTTGATTCTTAGATGTATCCTCTGACTACCTAACTGCTTGGTGGCAGTTATACCAGAGTGCACCAGGATGTAAGAGGAGAAATTCCAATCAGTCTTTCTTACTATTTATTAACAGCTTTTATGAGGTCTTCTAGGGAAGAAATAGGATAAAAATGAAGAGCAAATTTAGTTTGGGATTAAAACAACACATGGCACTTTGCCTTTAAAAAAAGCTCCTTCCCTCATACCTCACTGATCAGTTCTGAGGTCTATTTATCCATGTTACTCTCTTAATTTCACTATAATGGACAATGGGCTGAAAGAGTTATTTTCTGGGTCTAATTTTAAACAATTACTCACAAGTTACCTTCATTTCTCTTTAAAGATTTTCTACAGTCTTACCTCCCAGTCCAAATAATCACAAACATCTTCAAAGTTAGTGAGCAGAGACACTGAGCAGAAGAGCCGTGGCAGTTCATCCCTTGTCATTGGGGGAAAACGGCTATCTTTAAGGGCACTGTTGAAAACAAAGCAAATATTAAAGAAATCGCTAGATATGAGTGTTCCTAATTTCAAATGCAGACAATCATTTGAAAAAGGTAAGAGATAAAAAAAAAATCAGTAAGGTGCCAAAGGCACCAATAATCTTTAAATATATTCAAAGCCCCCAAAGGTTCTAGTTGTCATTCTTTTTTCATTCAATAGATTGCATTTACTAGCCAATCCTACAACCAATTCAATTGTAAAGAGTGAATGATCAATCACATTTCCTGTACAGTCATTTCCTGGTGTACTTTACTGTTACTTGTAGAGTCTGAGAATGTTTTATTTTACTTTTGAGGAGAATAAAAACCAGACTAGTGGAAACTTGTGGGAAGACTTCTGGATCTAGTGCTGGTGGAAAAAAATATATATGCATTTCATGTTGTAAAAAAAGTTCATACTAGGTTGGCCAGTTACCATAGAATAGCATTCAGATTTCAAAAAAACGATCAAAATCTCATTTTCTTCAAGCAAAAGAAATCAAAGAAAATGAAAAGAATCAGGCAAACTATAGACTAAAACTACTCACAAGGATTTCAGGCCCCCTATAAAAAGGGTAATTCAAGATATGACTCAAAAATTATGAAACTACAGGAAATAAGGCTAATCTAGGAAATAAAAGTATGATTAGGAGACCATTAATCACATTGATAGATTTCTGGGTACATCAATTCCAATTGGATCCTGTAATCAAAAGTAGTATACCACAATGCCAAATTCTAGAAAAACCCTACTGTAAAGGACAAAAATGTTGGAAGATCATAATTCTTCCTGCAACAATAGAAAAGACAGAAAATACACTGACACACAGACACATAGATACACACACAGACACACAGAGGTACTGTGGGTTCCTTGTACTTTTAAAAGAAACCACTTCCTGATCAAGAAAACTAAACATACCTCTGATTGCATACTATATTACACTGATCCTCAAATGTCTTTTATAGCAGCTAGTCTTAGACATGTTTTCACAGATTAACCTCTAAGTTACAAATTTAGAGTCTACAAACTGTTTGGGTTTTAATAAAATTCTGTGGCCTTTAGAAATAATTTAATTCCTTTTTCAGTGACTTCCTCACTGCTGGATTTTTTTTTCATTTTTTCAACCCCTCTTTCGCATTCTGAAACTCACCCACTGTATTGTACAGATATATACCTACATTTGCATTTTCAATGCATTTTGGTTGTCATTCTATCCTGCTATACAAAGGAAAATGCTCATAGAAAGACATAGAGGTGTCCTATATAAAGTATAAACGTTTCTTTCCCAGCCTAGGAGCCAAGATTAACCAAGAAAATCAGGAAATCTATGATAATTCATACTTTGAGAACAGCATTTCACTATTTTATAATTTAACAACATAAATTTCCTATGGTCTGGCTTCTTTTATTTTCCTATTGGCAAATAAAGTTTTTAAAAGTATTTTCAAGTTCTCATTCAAAGCCAAAGTAAAGAGATCAGTTTGTGTGTATAAACTCCACCTTTTCCCCACCAACGCATACACATACACTGGAGAGAAGCTCTAAAACATAGACCAGAAAAATCCCATGCATAAAAAAACCAAAAGGCCAATCACACTTTCAATTTTCCTGTTAAAAAGAAAACACATTAGAATAATATAAAATGTAATTTTTTAGGGCTGTTGATTTTTTTATTGTGGTAAAATATAACAACATAAAATTTACCATTTTAATCATTTTGAAGTGTACAGTTCTGTGAGGTTAAGTATATTTACTTTGTTGTGCAACAATCACCACCATCCATCTTCAGAACTTTTTTCATCTTGCCCAACTGAAACACGATACCCATTACATACTAACTTACTCCCCATTCCCTCTTCGTCCTAGCCCCTGGCAAAAATGTAATTGAAATATGCGCTTATAATTTTAAGTAATTATAGTAATATAGTCACTAATGTTTTTAATATATAACAGCTTTATTGAGATATAATTCACATATCATAAAATCCACCCCTTTAATGTATACAGTTCAATGGTTTTTAGTGTATTCACAGAGTTGTACAATTGTCACCAGTATCCAATTTTAAAACATTTTCATCACACCCAAAAGAAAGCCTATACCCATTAGTAGTCACTCCACATTCTCCCCTTCCCCCAGCTCTTAGAAACCATTAATCTACTTTCTGTCTCTATAGATTTGCCTATTCTGGACATTTCATATAAGCATTTCATACAACATGTGGCCTTTGTGTCTGAATTCTTTTACACAGCGTGTTTTTGAGGTCTCATTCATGCTGTAGCATTTATCAGCACTTCATACTTTTTATTGCCTAATAATATTTGATTATCTGGATAAATCACATTTTGTTATCCATTTGTCTGATGATGGACATCTGCCTTGTTTCCACTTTTCGGCTGTTATGAATAATGCTGCTATGAACACTCCTTTTTTTTTTAATCCTCAACCTAGGGTATTTTTTTCCATTTCTTTTCAGAGATAGTGGAAGGGGGAGAGAGAGAGAGAGAGAGAGAGAGAGAGAGAAACATTGATGTGAGAGAGATACATCAATTGGTTGCCTCCCACATGCACCCTGAGGTACATACCCTTGGCCGAAATCGAACCCAGGACCCTTCAGTTCACGGGCCAGTGCTCTAACCACTGAACCAAACCGGCTAAGGCTGAACACTCATTTTTGACTTTTTATGTGGACATATGTTTTCATTATTCTTGGGCAGATACCTAGGAGTGGAATTACTGGGTCATATGGTAATTCTATGTTTAACTTTTTCAAAAGCCACCACTTTCCCACAGCAGCTGTATGTTCCTAATGTATGAGGGTTCTTTCAAATGTCCCCACATTCTCGCCAACCCTTGTTTTCTGCCTTTTTAATTAATTTTTAATTAATTCCTTTAATGAAGGGATTTTTGTATCTAGCTCTAGCTTTTACATTAAAATACATATGCTGAAGTGGCTATACAGTTAATTTCTCAACACTCTGAGGCAAGTTATCATTTTGTTTACTTTGTTTTGTAGCGAACCAATGAAAGATAAATTGTAGCTCGGTATAATTCAAACTATTTCAAATTAAGGAAATTTTCTAAAATGTAACTGAGGGTCAGGCTAGCAAGCTTTCCTAGTTGCAAAATCATTCTGGCCTTTAAAAAAAAGAATGTTCAGAATAAGAGAAGCTGACAATCACGCCTTGCCATACCAAGACTCAAAAGCATTAACTTCAAAACTCTGAAATAGTGAAAGTACATTAGTCATGATGGAAACAGCTTGATTTTACAGACACACTCAAATGAGACTTTTAATTCTTGTATTTTTCATAAACTCTAAGTAACTTTTCATTAAATTCATGAGCATAGAAAAATTCTAAAAGGTAGAAAGCCCTCAATATCTCCAAATGCAAATTCCTAGGGAAACAAACTAGCAATGAAAGCCTAGCAAGGATTTAAAGGATTATAAAAAAGATGAAAAATGCAGCTGGAGACTTGACTTCATAGCTGCTAGACTGGTGTGGATAGCTGATAAACAAGAAGATTCAGCTTCCCTCAGCCCCACTCTATTCTGTATATAGAACATGCAGTGTGGAAGGTGAGCCTTTGGAGAGGCTATGCACTCTGGAGTTGGTAGTGACTTTTTCAAGGTGACCCAGGTAATTAGTGACACAAGTGGGGATACAACCCAGATTCTTAACTCAAGTCTAAAATTATTTCTAGTATCTATACTTCAGTTGCCACCTTTGAATGGAATAATTTTTTAATAGTAAATGCTTGCCTTACTTGGCAATTCTGATCTCATACCTGCAATGCCTCTGCCTAAAAAAGATAAATAATCATTTAATAATATTCATTAGTAGCCAAAGGGTAAATAGAGCTAGACTTTCTGTCTATTGGAAATCTGCAGGAGCAAAAAGGATTTTAAAATATTAATACTGTCCATGGAAAGCATTTTATACCAAAGTAGGTTCTGCCAATTTAAATTCTAGGCAGTCTAAGGAACTGACAAATAATGAGATCCTGTAGTAAATTCATACAAAGTTCTCTTTGCTATAATAGGAAGCCAATTTCTAATGTTTGATTATTGCTATGGGGGAAAAAATTGCTTATGTACAAAACCAGCTGGCTGCTTCATCACCCATATGATGGATGGGTAGGTTTAAACAACAGTTTAATTCACATACCAAATTAAAATATATTCAATGCAAATTGGCACCTTCCCAAGAATATATTTCTCTAACTGAGAAGCAGCATTAACATCTGTCAAAGTTAATATCTAATGTTAAATAGTGCTTTAATGAAAATGAACATTTTTAAAAAAGAAATTAAGAGTTTGGCTATGAAAAAAATCAAAGTGTTTGTGACAGTGCCTAGAAACTGTGAGGGGAAAAGAAACACAGCTGAATAGAGACAAAATCTTAGATATTACAAGGCTCATCATAAACAATATAGCATGCAACAGAAATTATTTAAATGAATCTAACTAGCTAGCCATTCACTCACTCATTCATTCATTCCTTCACTTTCTAAAACACTGACAACTTTAATCAGCTATCCAGTGGAAAGTTACCACACTGAGAAGGGCTTCATGTTACAGGCAATCATTTTTCAGGACAAGGACGTAATTAAAACCAAAATTAAAAATTCCTGTTTGGATAGGTGAAGAAAAGCAAATCCAGGATACACTAGTCTAAAATAAAAAAAGTTTTTTTGTGAGGGGTTTCAATCATCTAGAAATTCTGCCATTCCTCATCAGAGCTTCGGGAACAGAATGCACATGTGGCATGTGTGAACTCCAGAAACTTTAGAGCATTTTTCACTTTCCCATTATTAAAGAAGATAACAGGCATAAAACAGAATGCTAAAAATAAGTGACTATTCATTAAACCTAAGGGTAGAGAGGATCGACAAAAGACATGATTATGGTTAAGGAAGGGGCAAAGGAACCTTATTTTGGTGAGCGCTATATGACCCAAAGGGACATTTTCTATCATTAAGCCATATGT